AAACCCAAATTTTCCCACAAAAAGGGTCTAAGTTTTAAAAGTGCGGACTCATCACAGTTATCTTAACAGGTTGTGGAGATTTTTTTACTCAATAACATCACATTTTAAAAATCATTATCATTTTAGTTGAAATTAAAAAAAAGAGTTTTTAATTTCAACTTCGGGCAATAACAAATGAGTTACACATTTTTACAATTTGCATATCTGTATTTATGTTTCTTGTCCTCGAAAGATCTGACATATGTCAGATCAGCTACAGAAGGTTGTTGGCCCCCTCAAGTCCTGCAGGTCGCCTTAAAGCGTGTTCCTTGCAGACGAGGGGATATACCTGGGTGGAACGGGTGAAGTACTTCGGGAGAATAATCTCCCGGAGGGGTCACCTGTGATGTCCCCCGTCTCTTTACCCTAATTGCTAAGAGGGAACGCCGACAAACGTGGGAAAGATCAGTTCGTTTCCCTAATTGATGGGGGGAAAGTTTCGCAAATGGGTGCTCAAAAATTCTGACCATTTTTTCCCATGACAGTCCGAGAGATGAAAAGATACACCAGTACAATGTGCTATTGGTTTCTCACAATCTGGGAATACAGCGTATCTGCAGCACAGGGCACTCACTATGAGCCCAGACAGTTCCCCCACACACACACTCTAAGGGGACGACAGAATAGATCAAAGGGATAGGCGGTGAGTGACCATGGGAAACGAGAGGTTTAAAAATGGAGAGCGAGAGAGTTTGGAGAGACTTTAGTTGAGAGAATCCGGTAAGAGGTCTCTTAGTCAGTGATGTTTGGGAGTCCACGAATAAAGCCAAATGAAGGCGGATTGAGAACCGAGGAATTTTTCCGAGTCAGCAAGAGCTCAGTGGAAATAGAGCTAGCACACCCTGTGTGGAGTTAGAGAAAAGCGAAGACTTTCTCTAGCGAACTGTGGACCCGATTTAATTCTCAGCAACCCCTTAAATTAATATGTTCCTGCAGCGGTTTAAGGCCGTTACCGTGAGAGAGACTCTACATTTGTGGACCCTTCCTACAATTAGATTGTACGAGAATATTTATTTGATGATTTTCTTACCGTAATAAATAGTTTAACCCAGAGCTGTTGAAGGTCGTTCCATTATGCTCAGCTAAGGCCTGAGGGAAAAGGAGCAAAGAAAGTCTTCTGACCATGGAATTTTCCCAGAGGACTTAAGTCTTTCAGACCAACATAAGTTGCTCACTTCCTTCTCGTTATAATTTTGTTGCAGATCTGTAAAATCCACAATTTGATTAAATTTTAGGTTTCTCATTTGTAATATGAGCCAAGGTACCCTGGTGGCCTTGGTTTCGAACTCGTGTGCTATAGTTCAGTTTCTCGTGCCAATTGGGTTGATGAACGTTAAATTTGCCTTGGCTCAAATTCACCACGTTGGTGTGGTATTGAAGTTAAGAGAGTGGGATGCCAGTTTAAGTGCTGTCCTCGTTGCTTTAATGTAGTTCAAAATTACGAGGTATACCACAATAGGCTTCTTGCTGTGCTGTAGTGCCAGGTTAATAAACACTCAAGCCGCATTCACACCATGGCAGCCAGCGTCGAGAGCTTAGCCAATCAGAGAGTTCATCTCGAGCGAGATGAAGTCTCTGATTGGCTAGACGCTCAACGCTGGCTGCCTTGGTGTGAATGCAGCTTCAGTATTATATGTAACATTTTTGGTATTAAAAATTCCATGTTTTCATTCTGATTGGTAGGTTTTAAATCACCTATATTTTGAAACATTACTGTAACAAGTAATATAAAAAAAAATTAAAGTCAATTCCCGCTAATGTCAACAAAGAAAATTTTTTTAGTTACTTTTTATTAAGTAATTACAATTAATATAAATATATTTATACATATGACACAATCACAATATTAAGTTGCAAAACAGAAAGCGATTTTCCCTTCTGTAAATGGTGTTAGACTATTGTGTGTGTTTGTTACTAATTATTCATTCATAAATCACATTCTCAGAAATTAGGCTATCCCAGGTAGGATTCGAACCTACGACCTTTATATTAGAAGCCCAACGCGCTATCCATTGCGCTACAGGGACACAACGAGGGAGTTTCCTTTTTATATACAGCGTTGAACTATTATTTTTGGTTTGTTACTATTTATTCATGAAGTAAATAGAATTAATGAATTAATATTTGAGAGAAAACTGTATTAACATAAAGTGTCATCCACTATAAGTTTAAAAATATATTTTGACTTGAGTGGATGAATAAAAAGTACTTTATTAACGATTGAAAATTTGAACAAGATATGTATTTATTATATATATATATATATATATATATATATATATATATAGGAGAGAGTGAACTAATAGTAGGAATTGAAAAATTAAAATAAAAGCACAGTAAGATAAAAAGGATTTAAAGGAATTTTTTTTAAATTAAAAAGATTGATCAAAGAAAAATCAAATGTGCTTTTACAAAGTACATCTTCTTTTTAAAGACATACAATTGTTAAAAAAATCCCGACGCGCGCGCGCGTTTCTCCTGTATCAATAACTGACTTTAAATAAGACTTCAAAAGGCATTCATTTCGATTCGAATTTTTTAAATTCATGTTCCTGTTGAATAAGGAAGAAAATTAGACGAGGAAACCCCAGAGGATCCATAACACATCTTTTGATATTTTCTCTCCCACAAGGAAAATAAAGATTTCTTCTAGAGGAGGAGAAATGTGAAAAGAGACCAGGATGAGAGTGCCTTGAAGAACGTGAATTATTTATCAGGTGTGTATCGGATGACGTGACTCGCCTGCTTATCTCTTTAGACAAATCATCTCATCTTGATGAAAGACTTCCGGGTATCCTTTTTTTAAAAAGTAGATTATTGAATATTGGGACTCAGATAACCTGATTAGTTTTTAAGTGCAGTAAATTGCATTGCATATTTTAATATTACTTCATCATAACTGTCACGGAAAGGAAAATACTTCGCGATTCGAAACAACAAAGATACAAATTGGGGATTAACGAGTGAATGACTAATATTTGTCAAAATTTATAGTTATTATGTTATGCAAGCAATTGCCGAGATTTTATCTCGAGTTTATTGTTGCTGAAAGATATTAAAATGAAAGAAGTGTTCTTAAAATCTGAGACAGAAAATAAAATTTAATTACCTTATATTTGCATTCGAACGCTTATAAAATATGTCAAAAGCAATCTTGTCCTGGAAAGACATAAAGTCATTGACCTGTATTCTTAGGATTTTTATTGAATGCATAAGAATATGTTACACCAGTGCTACTCAAACGACCCAACATTTGCGACCCAGTTTTCAATCATAATTTTTTTCTTTTAATATACTTTTTTGGCAATAATAAGGAGTCTACCTAGAGTCCCAAAAAAAAAATTTTTTCACGCCCTTCATGTAATAACAATGTATTAACAAAATTTGAATGTTAACGCTACAATATGATTTTAATTATAAATCGTTCAAATTATTAAGATAAGTATTAAATTTTGTATATGACAAATCATGGAGAGGGCACTAATTATTAAACTGGTTCTTCACTTGGTATTGGTACATTAATTATCCAATATATTGAGCAGTACTGATGCATTATAAGTATATTACGTCATTGCATATGCATACTTTATTTTTTACTATGTCACAATGTATTTGGGTTTTTGGGTTTTTTTTTCAGTAAAAAATATTTTTTAAAATAATCTTTTTTTGAGTTCCCAATGGGTTTACACGCCCCCCAAAGGGGGCACTTTTTGAGAAACGCTTGTTGGGATAAAAAAAATTTTGTTTAAAAAAATTTTTTTTTTGTACACTTTTGATTTAAAAACAAAAACTCAAAAAAATTAATGTCAAAACGTAATAAGAATGTGCTTTCAGATTTACGAGGCCCGGGGTAGCCTGAGGTCATTTTCGGCCCCCGGGGCTGGTTGTATGAGTTCGCACTTGCAACGAAGACCCTCTTTTTAAAAGGGCAGATGTATTAAAAATTTTTAGCCTTAATCCCGTTGGTATTATGGGTCGTTTTAGAGAGGAGGTTCACCGGGTGTCGTTCCGAACTTAAAAATTTTTAAAAAGACGAGGTCTGTTGCCAAAAACTTTTTTTTTTTTTGTTTAATAGTGATGTCAATCAACCCTCACTCACTCAGATTTTTGGTTGCAGATTTAAGTAACAATTATAAAATGATTATTTAGGGAACTCGGTATATTCTAAAAAGAATAAAGTCAATTTTGATTAGTAATATTCTTCGAATGATTAGCTTTTGTGATTGAAATATTGTTCGTGTATGCATAATAAATAGAAGTTGGAGGAAGTGAATTAAAATTTGTAAATAAGCTAATTTTAGGACATTATCATGTCTCTTTTCCTAGAGGTGTCTGTAATTACAGTCTATTTTTCAATTTCTACAATTAGTCCATTCTCTCCCTATTTTATTTCAAATTTTCAGTCGATGATAAAGTAGCTTCTATTCATCCATTCATGTTCAAATACATTTTTTTGAACTTGTAGTGGATGACACTTGATGTTAATACAGTTTTTTCAAATATTATTTCATTAATTAAATTAAAAAAGGAATTAATAGTAACAAACAAAACTAATAGCTTAGAAGCATATATAGAAAGGAAAATCATCCGTTGCGTCCATGTAGTGCAAAGGATAGCGAGTTGGACATCTAACCCAAAGGCCTTAGGTTAGAATCCTACCTGGGATGGTATAATTTCTGAGAATGTGATTTCTTTTTTACTATACTATTTTATTAGAACAATTCAGTTTAATTAATGAATAAATAGTAACAAACAAAAATAATTGTCCAACACCATATATAGAAAGAAAAATGGTAAATTACTTTCTATTTTGTCACTTATAATATTGTGATTCTTCATATGTATATACATATTTATATAAATTGTAACTATTTAATGAAAAGTAACTGAAAAAATTGTTTTCTTTGTTGACCTAAGTAGGAATCAACTTGGTTAAACAAGTAATATAAAAAAAATCAATAACTGTTAATACTAAGGAAATATTAACATTTTTTTAATGTTTTGTGTTCTTGTTAAATGTAAAATTTTATATAAAACCTAATATTTTCGTACTGAATTTCAAAAATGGGTTTTTTTTAATACTTTTCCTTTATTTTTTCCTTTTAATCAGATCAATGAATATTCTGAAATACAGAAGGCTGTACGCACTTTATGGAAACGATCTTGATAGTTAACTTTTATGTATAAATGCAGCACTTTTTGTGACGATTTGCTACGGTCTGATAGCCATGTTTCTTTTCAATAGCTTTAGCTCGATTCCTTGAAAGTAAACTTTTTTTTAACACTGTCATGCTAATTTTCAGTCCTTTCAGTGGTCTTGGATGCCATTTTCCAAAGACTTGTTTTAATAAACCGGAAATACAAAAGTCCATTGGAGAAGCGTCAGGTACCTTTACATGTATTTCATCAAATGGAATATATTTTATTCCTGTTTCTGATTCTTTCTTAGCTAAATAAGCAACAGTTTACTTGGACGTGCGACCAAAAGCTTTGTCCATATGAAGCTCAACTTCATCAATGTTCTTTCCATATGAGGCTGGAATTTCTTGTTCGAAAATTGGTTTTTAAATATTCTACTAATAGTAGAGCGAATTAGCTTTGTCTTTACTTGAGACTTTTATCGAATTTAATTTGCCGTTGTAACAAAATCCTGGAACTATCATGAATCCCTTTGGGAACTTTTCTGTACACTGATGAAGCCATTTCGTACGGCCATTCCATATGGTTGATCAATAGAAAATTGATATTTTATTATTGCAGTCACTTAAATATACCCTTGCCTCATCTAGTGTTACCACACATTTCCATTTTTCAGCAGGTAGGTGTTTTTTGTCTAATTTTTTATAATTTGTTTTCCTTTCAGCAACATGTTTTGGTAAAATCAGATGAACTTTATAGGCTTAAGCATCTTTTAAACTTTAAATCCTTATGAATTATTTTACTTACAGTGCAGGAAGACATTCCTAGTTTCAATGCAATTAATCTTTAAGTCAGCTGATTTTCTTTTAGGATCAGAGACATTATTTTCTTGATAGTTGTCGGCGTTCAAATAGTCTTAGGTTGAGGTTTTGTGGACATGTTTTCATTTTTACTTTAAACTAGACGGGTTTTTTTTTTTTCCTTTTCAAATTTAACACATATTGTAAATACCCTTTTTTGAAATGCAGTAACTGAGATTTTTACAGAGCTTTATAATTTATTGATGCGAATATCTCGTCCTAGAAAGCATAATTACGGAACCTTCAAGCCTTGTATCATTTTTAGCAGCCATTTTAAAAATAAATCTTTTATTTTACATTCTAATCAAAATGGAATCTTAGCAGACGATTATTTTGAAGTTTTTAGTCTTTCTCAAAATGCAAATGAAAAAATGAATTACAAAATCATTTTCCATGAAGTGCGAATGACCTTCTACAGATGATTAAATATTAAAAATATATAAGAAAGCGATTAAATATAAGAAAATATATAGTCATTATTTTAAAAAGGCTTTTTAATTAAACTGAACGATATAATTTTTTTTTTTGGACTTCTAAACGATTTTTCTCAGTTTGTCTTTATTCAATACATCAAGGCATATAAAATACTTCTTCTTTCTCGTATATCACTTTCCTTTTTCCCCTGTTAGTTATATAAAATGCATGTGTCAACATTTAAAATCCATTTTGCTATGATATTGTGGTTTACATGAATTTTACCGTTTACACATCTATGTTTTTCCCCTAAAAAAGAAAAGAAAATGCTAGATACGTTATTGTAAAATCATCATTCAAGTTTTTTAAAACATCCTTGAGAATATCACATAAATTTATCATGCTAAAATACCAATCAATACACAAAGGGAGTAAACATTTCGAACTTTGCAAGATCTCCTTAAAAATCTTTAAATTTTTAAAATTGTATCCTTAATAAGAGAAAGTTCGCCTGAAGTCATTTTATTAAATGAAAACGCTAGGTAGCATGCTAAAATATATTTTTTAAATCGTGACGAGACAAAAAATAGTGTAAAAGCTACCGAGTCTTCTGA